CTGGATCGTGAGATTGAGTCCGGCGTTAGGCTCTGTGCTCAGTGGGGCGTCTGCTTGAGATTCTCTCTCTCTTTCCCCTCCCTCCCTCTGTCCCCCCAACCTCAAAATAAATAAGTAAATCTTTAAGAACTAACTGCCAGCATCTGGAGATGTGGAGAGTCTAATCAAGCTTAAATCAAGCCACTGAGTGAATTTGTCATTTGCAGCTAATGTGCCTGCTGGTCTTTTTTTTTTTTTTTTTAAGGAAGAACACTGAGTTAATGGTTCAATGTTAATATGAGTTGATTTTATTGATTTTGTGCTGGCAGTCAATTAATTACAAAGACAGGCATCGTGCTTTTGTGTTCTTGTCCCTGACTTAAAGACTCAGGTGTGACTCATGCAAAAGCTGATGTCAGCAAGACCCTCGATCTCTGAGGATGCTGTAAGTGATATCATGATTATTAGATTTATCACTTCTGATGCCACCTCATGAAGGAAATTGTATCTCAAAAAGCTCAGTTGCAAAATTATGCATTTGCCATGTAAGCTAAGGTGGACTTCCTGTTGTGCTACCTCCATGGAATTTTACAAAGCAGGTGTGAGTGTGAGTTTCACTTGGAAATGATTTCTTACGCTCCATTCTTCTCCTTTCTTCTTTTTTTCCTCCTCCTCCCCTCCTTGTCCGCCTTCTCTGCCACATACTCAGTTGCCAGTTACAGTAGTGAATAGGAGTCTTCTTGTTCAGGGGCGCCTGGGTGGCTCAGTCAGTTGAGCATCTGCCTTTGGCTTAGGTCATGATCCTGGGGTCCTGGGATCAAGTCCCGCATTGGGCTCCTTGCTCAGTGGGGGGTCTGCTTCTCCTTTTGCCTGCCCTTCTCTCCCTCTCTCATAGACAAATAGATAAATTAAATTAAAAAAAAAGAATCTTCTTGTCCATAGATTCAAAATATGATCCATAAAGATGCCTTCTTTTTTTCAATCCAGTAGTGTGGTCTAATGAATATCAGGTATTCATTAGGACAAAGGGGGACTCTCCTGTTTTAGGCTCTATGCAAGCCTTTGAATCAGGACGTTAGGAAAAGCATGTTCTCTCAGACAATTGAATTGCTTTGTCCTGAATTGACTCAGGGCAACCTGAGCACTAGTCTCGACGCTGCCATGAGCCATCTGTGTATCCTTGGGCCACTTTGACTCTCTGTGTTTTGGGTTCCTCACATTTAAGATGGAGAGCCTTCTATTTCCCCAACTTTGTAACAAAGGCAGGGAGAGCTGTTGTGTCTCAGTATCCAGGGCCTTTGGGAAAGCTGGGTATTCACATGCACAATGTGAACTTGTCTACATTTGGGAGCCAGTAAAATGTAGGGAGGGATCACACAAGAAACCCGATGCTGAACAGCTGGATTGCAAAATGAATGTTTTCGAAGCCAGCCACATCACTGTGAGTTTGTCAGAAGCATCGGGAGCTTTGCCTTTCTTAGAAGCTCCCCAAAGGAGGGGTTATCCAAAGGCTTTTCCCAAAGCCTGGGTGGGGGCAAAAAGGCTTGGGGTTGGAGGAGGGTGGGTCATTGTTAACAGCAACCCCCAGAGCAATCTGTGAGGGCTTTGTTGTCCTACAATAGGATATCATGGCGTGTCCCTGCAATGACTGCTTTTGAGCTTTTGGTTTTTCTTTTTGGGAGGCAATTTCCACAAGCACCTCCAAAATGAATGTTCTGGTGCCTTTTGGGGGCAGGGTTGATGTTTGAAGTGTTTGCTCAATTCTTTTCATGGCTAGTAGTTGGTTGAGATTTTCTAGGTCTTTTTGAGCCAATCTCCTTATTTACATTTTCCTTTAAAATCATTCATTTCATCTAAATTTTCAAACTAATTAGCATATTTATGCGGAGAAGGACTTCTGAATGCATAATCATTATTCCTTTCTTATTCCTAAATTTGTGTATTTGTGTTACCTTTCAAAACCTTTCAATGCTACTTCCTGTTGTCTGCCAAGATTAATTTCTTTTTTGTTCCTACTTTTCTGCCTTTGCATATCCTTACAAAGCCTCCTTATTTCCCTTACATTTGGTTGAGGCAAAAACAGCCCTTGCTAAATTCTCACTATGTGGTAAGCACTCTACCAGGAACCATGGGGAGATACAGAGAGAGAGATAAACTTGGTGGTTACATTCGGGAAGCCTGGGAAAGATGAGGGGAATACTCATGAGAATACAGGCAGGTCTTGAAACAAAGTGCTACATCCTAGAGGCCACTGCTGGAGGCACACCCAAGGATGAGGCTTCCCTAAATCCATGACCAAAATGAAAGTCAGGGCCAGGGCCAACCTCGAACATGGGGACTTGGCAGGGATCTTCAGGGTCAAGGAGGCGCCAGGGGGCAAACAATTCAGAGACACACTATGTATCAGAGTTCGGGGCTCCAGATTTTCTTGAGCCAAGGTCCAAGATATCCGTGGGAGTCCGCAGCAGGGTGCAGAGCCATGTAGCCTCTGTCATTGGATTTGCCACCAGCACAACATGGAGGATGCTGACTGAACTAACAGTGCCAGTCAGTGACTGCATCATTTGGATGTGGTACGAAGAAATTCCCACGGCACCTACAGATACTCCTATCCTAGCATTCATGACACGACACTGAGATGCTACATCCTAGCATTCAGGACACTCTGTTGAGTATCTCACTCCATCAGATTGGGAGCCCCATGAAGTCATGGACTGAGTCTTACACATCTGCGTCTTCCCAGTGCCTGAACTATGCATGAGTGCTTTGTATTACTGCGTGGCCCAAAGCACAGGCTTTGGAGTCAGATTGATCTGCTTTTGTTTGGCTTCATTACTTTCCACCTGAGTCATTCACGTATTGTCTTGGGCCTCAGTTTTCTCGTCTGTGAAACAGTGATGACAATAATATCAACCTCTAGAATTTGGGGTGAGAGTAAAATGAGATGAAAGATTTGGAAGTACTTAGTAGAGTGCCTGTGATAGAATGAGCATTCAATTAGTGGTGTAGCTCTCATTGTCACGACGTGACCGTGGGATGAATGGGTGAGGGACAAGTGGGCTGAAGAGAGATGTTAGCCTGTTTGATGAGGTCAGGACCCAGGGCTGGGAAGAGGTTTAATAGGAGCAACACTGACAGTTCCCCAAGTCCCCCTCCCTTATCTTGGCATCTCCTGGATGATTGGGAGGCCGAGACAATGGGGATAATCTTTAAGCATCTCTCACTTTGTGTTAATCTTGTAGTCATCTTGGCTGGGTGGGCGAGGATTGAATAGACCCTGGCGGGGGGTGGGTGATGTTATTAATATAAACATTTTTTCAAACGTGAAATATTGCTCTCTGCACCCAGAAAGCTGTTATTAGTTTGGGAGCACTGTGCCTTTGGAAAGCCATTGCTGGCAGCTTGAATGGGTAGCTTAGAACAATTAGAAGCTTTGAACACTTTCAAGCTAAGGATTGGGATAAGAATGTTCTGACTCTATGGTTTCTCCTGGGATTTCCCTGGTGTGCTGGACTAATTATCAGATGTAATTAGGAAGCTGAGAAGTGGGGAGACTGCAGGGAGCAACATACTTTCCCAGGGACCCTCATTTCTTTGTGCAGAAAACGGGTTAGGGAGACTCTCTCTCTGTTGTGGAGAAGCAGCAATGCATAGGGCACTAGAGGGCAGGAAGGATCCTGGGAACATGGCTTTACCAGCAGAGCCTCAAGCCTATGGGGACTCATTGCTCTTGATTAAGTTTTAAGCGGTCAGGACAGTTTCCCCCCTTGTTCTTGAGGGAAGAATGGTATTCGGGGCCACTTCCACGTTCTTGGTCCATTTTTAGCAAAAGTCCAATTTCCTGGGTCCGAATCAATAAGGAACTGGTGCCTTTCTTTCAAAACTCATGAAGATGAAGAGAGGAACTTCCAAATCTTGGTCAGCTGCAGGGTCTGTCTACTGGGGCTGCAGAAGATCTTTCTCATCTGTCTTGGCTTGCACCTTTGGCCCCAGAGTTGGGCTAGGAGCACTATATCTTTGAAGCCCTGAGAAAAGGTAACATCTGCAGGGCCATCTGCTTGTGAACGTTTTTTTTTAAGTGTTTTTTTTTTTTTAAGATTTTATTTATTTTGACAGAGAGAGAGCACAAGTAGGCAGAGGAGGCAGGCAGAGGGAGAGGGAGAAGCAGGCTCCCCGCTGAGCAGGGAGCCTGATATGGGCCTTGATCCCAGGACCCTGGGATCATGACCCGAGCCGAAGGCAGCCACTTAACGACTGAGCCACCCAGGTGCCTCTGCTTGTGAATTTTTTTTAAAAGATTTTATTTATTTATTTGAGAGAGAGAGAATGAGAGATAGCACGAGAGGGGAGAGGGTCAGAGGGAGAAGCAGACTCCCCGCTGAGCAGGGAGCCCAATGCGGGACTCGATCCCGGGACTCCAGGATCATGACCTGAGCCGAAGGCAGTCGCTTAACCAACTGAGCCACCCAGGCGCCCTGCTTGTGAACTTTTATTCAAAGGCAGAGACATTCCCTTTGGACATGGTCTTGAAGTTCTTCTTCTTCTTCTTCTTCTTCTTCTTCTTCTTCTTCTTCTTCTTCTTCTTTTTTTTAATGGAGAGAAAGTGAGTGGGGAAGGACAGAGGGAGAGGGAGAGAGAATCTTAAGCAGGCTCCACGCCCAGCACAGAGCCCAACACGAGGCTCAGTCTCGTGACACTGAGATCATGACCTGAGCCAAAACCAAGAATCGGACGCTTAACTGACTGAGCCGCGCAGGTGCCCTGGGTCATGAAGTTATTCTTAATGCGATGGAAACAAGATTACCACACATGAAACATGGAAAGACAATGGTACTCTTTTGTATCTTTACTTACTGGGGGCTGTGATGCAGACCATAAGCCTGGTAGTTTGAAAAATGGAGATCCCTGGGGGCTAAGGATGATGGCCCAGATGTGAAACTTTTCCCGCCTGCCAACATGATATTAAGTTTATTGTCACAAGATAATCACATGTCAATCCAATGTCTCTGCTCTCTCCACAGGTAACCTGTCTCCATGATTTCTTTGGTGATGACGATGTGTTTATTGCCTGTGGTCCTGAAAAATTTCGCTATGCTCAGGATGACTTTTCTCTGGATGAAAACGGTAAGCACAACCACTGGACTTTATTGCTCCATTGTTCACCCTCCTTCTGTCCCTTAGGATTTTCATGGGTTCATATGGCCTAGAGAACATCCATGCATGGACCCTCAAGGGCAAATATTGTTAGTCTTTCTCCTGTATGTTTGGATATGTGAGTCACGAAGTGAAAGGTTGACTGAATGTCCCAGATTCCCAGCCTCCAAACTCAATAAAACACTCTCTGCCCCAATGGTGACTATATTTCTTGAACTACATATTGTGTCACATGGGCTGACAGGTGCAAACTATGGGAAGGAATATTTGGAGTCAGAACTTGGATATTATATGTATACTTTTTTCTAGTCAACATCCTCCAGGGACTTGGCTCATGTTGATGGTTCCATTTTAGAAAGATTTTCCACTGTGTTCGTAGTGTCAAATCTTTCCCGTCTTCCCACTTTCTGGCTTGCTTCCCCATTCCCCTTACTTTGTGACTCAGGATTCCAGAGGTTGTTAATCTCAGGAAAGAGGTAAACATCTGCCCACTTCCCTTTGCTTGAAGCCAAGTTCCATGTAGAAGTTAATGGTGAATTAGTTCATACAGTGACAAGGTTAGGATATGATCTTGATGCGAAGACACATTCAAAACATCTTTCCCAATTATGAGGGGTAACGTGTGAGAAAAACAAACCAAGTTGTATTAATATAGACTTTACCAACTGCTCGAGTGACAAGGACCCTGACAGAGGTGGCATTTCTGCTGTGTTCACTTTGAGAAGAGACAAATGGCCATAGAATAGCTAAACAAATCCCAGGCTATCTCCAGTTTCCTATACCTTCTACATCTCCGGCTCTGGACAGTGATCACTGAAGTTCATCAACCAAAACAAGAAGTTAAATAAACAAAAATGAGCTTTCTGCTTAACTCAGTTTCCCCAAAAAACTCAGTTTACCAGAAAGGATCCCCTAATCTTTCTGGGTAATTGATATCTCAATATATCTTTAAGTAGGAGGTGACAAGGAAGTGTCCAAAGAAAAGACTGCCCTCTACCTAGCCGTGTGGTTCCACTTTGAGCCGCATGGCGCAAGGTTGGAAAACCTGCGGTGGAAAGAGCACTAGATTTGGACTTCAGAGACTTGGTTGCTAGTCCTGGTTCTGCTATTTTCTTGCTTTGTGGCCCTAAGCAAGAGGCTTACACTCTTTGTAGCCTCACCAGCAAAGTGAGTATAATTCTCCTAATGCGTTAGCACAATCAGTGCCCCCAAATTACCACAGTAGGGATGCTGAGTGACCTGCATAGGAAGGTGCCCCGAGCGGGCAGACTGAGGTTGAGGCAAGTAGCAGAAACATTTGGCGGACGCCCCTACACACCCAAGAGCTTTCTATAAGCTCTGAGCGACAGAATCACTGCTGGCTCATTTATTCATTAAACCAGCATTGGGATTTATGATCATGCGTTTTGAAAATAAAAAAGAGCTCTATCAATGCATGGTGGTGGTGGTGGTGATAGTGCCTATTCATAAGATGACATGACTTACAATACATGGCATGTAATGAACGGTAAATGGTAACTCCCTCTTCTTCCTTTAAATTACTCATGAATGTTCATCTGTGTGGCTGCAGCCTCTGAGCTGTCAATCTCTTCTCCAAGGAAATTAATTAATTATGTCAACAGGTGCTATTCTGAGACATGGCTGGGGCGCCCACAAATGATCAAGTTGACTATTTAATAACCCACCCAACCTGCTTTTCAACTCCTTCCCTTGTTTCCATAATCCAGGGATTTAAACACCTGGCTTGGCCCAGATGACTTTTGAAAGTTTCTCCCATGCCTCCCCCCCTTCAGAGCCGTCATTCCTACAAACAATGAGGACCACCATGTAGTCCTGAGCCATCGGGTACTTTGGCCTGTGGTGGTTATTCCAGTTTCCAGAAGTTGGTAATATGCCAAAGGCTCGCTTCTCCCGTGGCTTTCCTGAGCTGTCTGTTCTTTTCTACCAGAATGCCGAGTCATGAAGGGAAACCCATCGGCCACAGCCGGCCCAAAGGCATCTCCAACTCCTCAGAAGAGTTCAGCTAAGAGCCCCGGCCCTATGCGCCGGAGCAAGTCTCCAGCTGACTCAGGTAACGACCAAGATGGTGAGTGCTCTTCTCCTAAGTGTGCACGCTGACTTCATTGACAGAGGCCCGCACCCTCTGCATGCAGGGGAATGAGTTCCTCATGCACACCGCTGTGTCTCCATGACACCAGTTCTCTCAGTTCAGGGACTAAACAGTCAAACTTGTTTGGAGTCATGGAGACACAGCTACTAACCCCTGATCCTACTCAGATGGATGCAGCCCGGAACTCTGGCCTATCTGCCATGCTTGCTGTAATGCGTATTGTCCTGTTCGTTTTCATAGTCATCATCTTCCACATCATCCGGCAAAAGCATAGTCAAGGAAATAATCAAGTCAAGCATAAACGTGAAATAGAAACCAAAATCGGAAACAAAAATGTAAAAAAAAAAAATTGCCACCCTAAAGTGTTAACAGAGTTGATGTGCTTGAGCTTCAAATTTGACTTTGAACTTTTTAGAGGTCAAAACGAAAAGAGAAACGAGATAATTTGCATCATTCCCACAGCGAGAAAAATATATATATAGGCCAGGTTCTGAAAGGAAACACAGAGATTTGTCACACAGGATTTTAATTAGTGGATAGTGAGTGATCAAAAAAAAAATGTGGTCTATGGATCCCTGCCAATGCATGAACTATTTATCAGTCTGTGACAAGATTAGAAACTTGTGCCAAATGCAAATTATGCCACTAAGCAAACATTTACTTCAGCTGACTCTTTTTTCCTAGCACGATTTTTTTGATAAAGGCAGCAGTGTGTTCTTTTAAGTTCTGGTGCAAAAGCTTGCACCCGCAGTTTGAGTGACACTGAGCTGAAAGGCAGAAGGCCACAGAAGTTCAAGTTTAGAAGCTTAGTAGAGTCAGGCACAGACAGTGTGAGTTCTTCACGGGAAGGAAATTGTATGGTCCGGGAGACTCACATTCGTCGTCCCGAGGCTCAGGGCTCACCATGTGAATTCTTCTAGCCTGGGAGTCTGGGAGCTTTGGGGCAGAGAGCACAAACGCTCTTTATCTCTTCTTCGGTTTGAGGCAGCTCGAGGAGCCTGCTGGCTTTGAAATGCTCGTGGCCTAGAAAAACAGCCTGTCCTGCCGGCCTCACACTGCCAGGAGCATGCACATCACCAGCCATTTTTTTTTTTCCCTCGGGCAGAAGGAACTAAATGGTGAAGAGGCAGCTGGAGCTTTTCATACTTCCATGTCTTTGCTCACCCCATTTCCCTGCACCTGGAATGCCATCCCTTGAGCCTACCACTCCTCTTTGCTTGAAAATGTCTGTTCATCCTTCAACACCTCAAATAGAAATAGGTTCATTTTCTGCAATATCGTAGCATGTTCTTCCTGTGTCTGGGGTAAGATTCACCACACTGTGTTGTAAAGTCTGTATTTACCTGTCTACTTCCCCCACTAAATACTGGGCCCCTCAAGGGCAAGACGTCATGTTCGTTTTGTATCCTCAGTGCTGAGCACAGTGCCTGGGTCCTAGTCGATGCTCAAATAATGTTTGTGAGTGAACAGATGCATAAGAGCACCTATTTCACCCAGCATGGTGCTAGAGACTTAGTTAGCACTTAGGGAATATTTGCTAAAGGAACAAAAGTACATGTGTTTGGTGATATTTTGGTGAAATGTACAAAACAGTACATGCATCTATCTAAGCAAATTTATATTGCTCACACTATGAAGACCTAGGTTTTAACACTTGGGTTAAAAATGAAATTATTTGTACAAATTCCAGGCAGGGCCTTGCAAAAAAAAAATAAAATAATAATAATGGACTTTCAACACTTGATCAAGATTCATAAGATCCGGCAATAACTGCTTAGCCAGTCATTTCTTTCAGAAATATCACTGACCATTTCTGGGATTTCTAATCTATATTATCTCTTGCTATGAAGCAAATTACCCCCAAACTTAATGGCTTAAAACAACAAATATTTATTATTTTATCATTCCTGTGGGTTAGGAGTTTTGGATTGCTTAGCTCTGTGGTTCTCTCTGGCTCAGGATATCTCATGTAGTTGAGGTCAAAGTGTCAGTGGGGGCCACAGTCATCTGAAGGTTCAGCTGGGACTGTAGGGTCCACTTCCAAGATGGCCGTCAGCAGGATCTTCTCCCAGACAGTGATTCAGGAGAGTGAACAAGGACGAGGATGTAGTGTGTTTTTTGATCTAGTTTCCGAAGCCACACACTGTCACTTGGGTTTTAGTCTATTCATTAGAAGCAGTCATTAAGTCCAGTCCACATTCAAGGAAAGAGGAATCAGTCTTCACCTCTTGAGGGGTGGTGGACCTGTTTTTAGACTGCCAAGAATTTGTGGACCTGTTTTTAAACCACCACATAATCTATTAGTTAAAAATGCTGAGGCGGCAGCAGCTTGAAGTCAATAGATTCTCTGCAGACTGTATCCAGGTGGGTTATCCAGCACATGTGAACGCAACCACCTGTAATTAAACACGGCTTAAACATATGTCCAATTATTGATCACCAGCATGCTAACTACAGAATTTCCCTTCTGGAAACAATGCACCTCACTAACTCTAAGATATCAGAGACAAAGAGGGAAGAGGGAATACATTAGGACTCGATGAATACTTGTCAAATTAAAAGGAGTTTTAATAGATCCCAACCCAGGCAAAGGCAGGCAAGATCTGCTTTTGCTCCTTCAGAACTCCCTTGCTAAAAAGAAGGAATGAGGGGCGCCTGGGTGGCTCAGTCGTTAAGCGTCTGCCTTCGGCTCAGGTCATGATCCCAGGGTCCTGGGATCGAGCCCCACATCGGGCTCCCTGCTCAGCGGGAAGCCTGCTTCTCCCTCTCCCACTCCCCCTGCTGTGTTCCTTCTCTTGCTTTGTCTCTCTCTGTCAAATAAATAAATAAAATTCTTTAAAAAAAAAAATAAAAAAAAATAAAAAGAAGGAATGAGGGTAGATTCACACACACAAGATAAAAAGAGTAAGCAGTTTGAGGCGGGGAAAGGGGACTTGACTTGGCAGATATCAGAACCACAAACAGCCCTTACTCCCTACCAGCAACAAATCAAAAGTGGTGTTCTCATGAGAGAGAATGTAAATCTTTATTTCAGATAGTTCATGAACATAAATGAAGCCAAGCTCTAGTCTGGCCAGCCTTAATGGCAATTTCCAGAACGTTTGAACTCATCGCAGATGATGTGTCTGTATCTTCAGCATGATTTCAGCCCCAAAGCGTAAAAGGAACTATGTGACATGACCTTGTCATTCCGTGGCAGTTTAGAGCCATGTCTAGGCCATCCACGTAGTGAACATTTCACGGGGGCAAAGCTGATCTCAGGCAAAACAGTACTTTAGGTAAGGTTTGGATTTGACATACCCATTTTCCCCTTTCCGCCTCCAAGTCACTCAGGACCATTCCAAGCTGGGAAGGGGAGGGGCCAGGATATGGACGAGAAGAGGGAGTCATCTGTGTGGCAAGGCCCAGTGAGACCATTTCCCAGCTTTTGCTGGGAGGCTCAGGGCTCACCATGTGAATTCTTCTAGCCTGGACATGCAAGTTCTCGCATGTCTAAGAGGTAAAAACCATTTTCCAACATTATCAGTTTTTTCCAATTTACAGAGGTGTACAATAGCTTCCATGAAACAAGAACTGGATAGCCAGAAGGATGAGCTATAGACAATACATAATTTTGCCTCAGCAGGTGTAAGGTTTTTCTCAGCTCTCAGCAAGGGACGCAGGTTAATACACATTTAACCGAAAAATAATGGTGTGGAGTGGGGCTGAAATTCTTTGTTCTTTTCTAGAACATGGCAGTGCTGCCCTGTTTCCACCCTGGGTTAGTCTGTCTTGGATCTGGGACTTGTGGGATGGCTTCACATTTTTTTCATTCAACCTGAGTAACTCAAGGTTGAGGAAGATAGGTCATTTCCAGGGAATTTTAACTACCTTCCTTTGAAGGCAAACGACAGCCAAAAATGTTCCTCTGCAGCAGGGATTCAAACCAAACGAAACATTGGCTCAGTTCAGGTTCAGCTAAAGGAATGTTTTGATGTTCTAGTTCATTAGAAAATATATAAGTTTAATTCTGGTTTGAACAAGTTTGCTAGATTTTCAAATATTTTTTAAAAAGAACAGAGCAATGGAGTTGGGAGAAAGCAAATATTTATTTAAAGCTATAAAATAAAACAACTCTTTCAGAGGAGGGTACTAATGAATGAATAAGAGAAATGAGCCAATTAGACATCCATCCATATATATGTGTGTACATTTGATCCAAGTCATGGTTCAGTTAATATCTGGGTTCAGTTTGCCTTGAGGTTTAGTAAATTGATGCGATCTGGTCTGTAATTTGCGTCATTATTTGATTCCTTGGTCCTTAAGTTGTCTTTTTTTCTGTTCTTCCCATGAATAAATCAAACTCTGTATACTTTATTCCCTTTGAGTTCAATCCCCACTCCTGCCAATACTGAGGGCGCCCCAAATGGAATGTCTGTTGCTAAGCCCTACACGTTAAGGAAGGATTTGGTTGTCTATATAATATTGCTAGAAGGAGTTCTCATTCTCGCTGGGCAGAGCTGATGGACTCTTAGAATCCAAGTCCCATTAGCCATGTCTGCCTTTAAAGTAGGACAGGGGACTGTGGTAAGTAGATCAAATCTGAGCCCAGAGGTCTCCTATGGGGGGGTTGAAGAATGCTTGTATAGTGCCCCCATTTTGATTAACCCAGGACTTGCCATTTTGATGGGCAAAAAGGCAAGCCTGGCCTGAGAGCTGCAGGAAGACCTTTCTGAAGCTGTCTCTTGCTGTTTCCATTTCAGCCATGAATGTGTTAACTTTTCCTTTTTCTGCAACTACCCCCAACTGAATTGAATTGAATTAAAAGGACAAAGTAGCTAGTTGCTGGGAAGGAATCTTTTCTTTTTCTTTCTTTCTTTCTTTCTTTCTTTCTTTCTTTCTTTCTTTTTTTTTTTTTTTTTTCCTGAAGGAGCCTCCAAGGAAGCTAATTACCCACCCTGGTAGGCTGAGAGAATTGTAATGTGATAATTAGTTCG